AAAGAGTACACGTCACGACATCTTAAAGAATGTGTTTCAAAGGCTGCACATTCATAAATCAACAAGGGATTCAGATTTCTAATTACAGTAAACAGAAGTTATTTGAGTTCATGACAATAAATCACTATTATTAGGAAAATTAAAAACATCCCCACTTGTGTAACATCATTTTCCTCAAATCATTAAGTAAAGTCTTTTATGGAAGCTCACTCTGTTTGTGAAAACAGGAACTGACTGCTGTGTTAGGACTTCTCAGTGAATGACCCCCTTAGTCCTCTGAGAAGAAGGACACCCCTCATTAAACACTTCTTTCATCTGTATTTGTGTGTATTTTATTATCAAACCTCATGCTGGCATGAAAAAGCATTTTAATCATGCACTTCCCTCTAATACAATTTAAAACCCCAGGAGTTTCCTGCTTATGTGCGCGCAAGCCCGATCCACTTCACCAACGGAAGTCCACGACCATGCAGAAATTCTGTGCCCAACATCATTAGCCCAGACGGTGGCAGAGGGGTCACCAGGCGGAGGTGACATTTTGTCAAGTTTTGCTATCTTTAATGTTTTGTGTATCATATTTGTATTCTGTCTTTATTTTATATTATTGAATTATCATAGACAAATAAAGAATTAAATGTCAATGATTTTTGTAATGATATCATATTAGAGATTTAAAAAACACCCAAGTCTTCAGATGTATTTTAAATATTTCCATTATATTGTCTCACCTTCCCTTCTTTCTCTGAATGTGCTGCCCTTCTCTGCAGACCATCTTCATCATACCCATTTTTGTTTTTACCAGCATTTGTTGGTTTGTTCACAACATAACTAAAAAAAGTGATGATTGGATTTTGAAGAAATGTTTTGGAGAGGTAGGGTGTGGTCCGCGGAACAAGCCATTAGATTTTGGTGCTGATCCGGATCATCCAGGAATTTTTTTTAAAGGATTCTTCACCACTGTGAGATAGGGCCTTTTTCAATATTTGTGCTTCTAACTCCATACATAATGCTTAGAATGCTTCAACAAAAGTTGCAAGATAACATCCACATAAGATCTACTAGCTGTCCCCAGTAGGCTAGTGATTCAGGTGCAACGCTCTCGCTGCTGTGGCCTGGGTTTGAGTCAGGGTTGCGTCAGGAAGGGCATCCGGTGTAAAACACGTCAAATGTCAACATGCGAGTCGTCAGTGAGATGATTTGCTGTGGCGACCCCTAAACGGGAAAAGCCGAAAGTGACTTTCTATCCATGTAAGATCTACTACACACCACCAATGATCTGGATCCAAGTCATATTCTGGATGTGCTGATCCAGAACGTTCAAATTTATAGGGCTCATGGAAAGCTTTCTACTGTGAAACAACATGTAATGCAACAGACTTGCAACTAAGATCAAATTACAGACAATCTCCACTAAGGAAATATTGTTTTTCTTGAATAACTTTCAAACCATTATTGATACCAATGTAATGATCAATGAGTTTTTGAGGTTCAAACTATCATTGAATATTGCTTTTTAGGTCAAAATGCGTTATGGGCTAATTGAGCTGCCTTGACAGAGGTGTGCACTCTCTAGATTTATCTAAGTTCCTTTTACTTTTTTGTGTCCCCATGTCACACCAAACACCATACTCTGTGCTTTTTGCTCTCTTCTTCCTTTTGTTCTTTACCAATGTGGCTCCATCTGGGCATAACAATACAGTAGGTGGGGGTAAGTGGCTTGCACCCAAAGGGATATTTCAGTGTGGCTGCTGCTGGGACAGTGGGCAGACAGTGTGCAAATGTTTGTTTGCTTTTGGACTGTTTGCCAACAAAACCAGGTTATATGTGTTTTAACAGTCCTTTAGAATCCCAGTTGTATTGGTTCTCTAACCTTTCTTGTACACTTTTGCCTTTTGGTAGACACATGAAATGCTATGACTGCTGCATCGATTGTCTTTGACTAATCTGACATTTTCTCTCCATTTGTCTCTGTTTGTCTTTTCTCCTCCTGCCTTTTTGTCTGCCTTTCTGTGGTTCATGCTGATTTTTTTGGTGAGTGAAACCTATTAAATCTAATAAAATTACCTGTCTCTTTTTACCCAAAGCTTTCATAACCATCTCTTTCTGTCACTCTCAGTCCCCTCAGTTACCCTGCGGTGAACCGCTACTCCTCATCCTCTCTGTCCTCTCAAGCTTCCAATGAAGTCAGTAACATCACAGGGCAGTCGGAGAGCTCAGATGAAGTCTTCAACATGCAGGTAATCTCTCTCTCTCTGTCTCTTTCTCTCACTCTCTCTCTCTCTCACACACACACACATACACATACACATACATACATGCAACCTCTTATGTCTTCCACACTCCCACACAAAGGCTTTTAAGAAGCTGAGTCTATATTCCAACATTTGTCTTCCTGCTCACTTCATTCTACCTTCATTTACTTACTCCTCTGACCTTTTCTCTTCATCTTCCTCTCTGCTTGTTGGGAGCTTTTTCTGGCCAAGCAAATTGTCGTGATTATATCAAATTATGACACAGTCCTTTGTGTCATCTGCCCAGAGAGCCTGATGGAGTTGGGCAGTAATCTAAACAAGATTTGGCCAATTCAGAAAGCTGCCAACAACTCCTGGCAAGCTGTCTGCTGCACCTGGCAAACCTGAAACAACGGGAAGAGGAAAAACATGAGAGGAGAAAGGAAGTTGTCAGAGATCTCACTGAAACCATTAGGATATTGTATTTAAGATATTGTATTTAAACACCGTACATTTACTGAACAGTGATCTTGAAGATGAGTATTTCTATAATATTGGCTCAGCAGAAATCTCTGGCACAAACCTCACCCATTGCCAAAGTGCACAAACAAAGGAAAAATAAACTTGAAAACAGAAAGTTTGACAACCCTTGCAGTGTTTTGAGCATCTTTAATGTAAAGTCCCACATGTTTTAGCATGCCTTTGTCAAGTCTGTGTATGTACCATATAGTCTTATAATAAAGTTTTTTTTTTTCTTCAAGACTTTTTGTTACATATTTTTAACAGACTCCAATGGAGGATCCTTGCCAAAACATTTTTGTCTTTGGTCTTAGAGTTGCTCAAAAGCACACTTTGTTTTGTTTTCTCTTCAGTTTATCAAAATCACAACAAAATATGATTTTAATTTATCCCATAGAAGTTCTCAAGTTTTCAAATGTGCAAATTTGTTAAGATGAAGCCTGCATTAAATACTGTATAATGTTATAGCAACAGTTAACAACAACAGATAGCAGCAGCTGTACTTTTAATCCTGGTTTTTAGTTACCTTTAACCCATAATTTATTGTTTTTATTAATGTTTTGCTTCACAGTTGCTCAATTTTATATGATGGCATATTGGGTTTTCTAAGTGCAACACTAATATTCTACTTTGTTATTCTAGTAGTAATGTTCTAGTTTTCAGCTTCTTGGAAACAATAGTAAGCAAGAGATGAAATGTAGTTCACTGGTAGTGAAAGCCTCTGAGTGGAATTTAAAGTATCCTGTCACCTGAGCGAGTTCCATGGGTTGAAGAAAAGACATTGTGGCTTTAGTTTACCCAATGTCTGCATTAAAAAAATTCTAGGTTTGGAGATGTTAACATAATGTATGTTGTATACTGTATAACATGTTAATTAATGTTAATGATATTCTGCTGATAATAATGATGCAGTTGTTGTTTGTGTCGGTGTCATCTACAGCCCAGTCCGTCTACCTCGAGCCTCAGCTCCAACCATTCTGCCTCACCCAATGTCACCAGCTCTGCCCCCTCCAGTGCCAGAGGTGAGACTGTCACTCTGCAAGAGGACTCATTTTACAGCTTTGAGCTGATATTTCATTCCAGAGTGACTTGGACAGAGGAAGCAGACAGAGGTTCAGCTGGAAAATACTGAACATAAAGACTAAACCTTTAACCTTTCAGTGACATGGTGTTCTCTCAAACCACAGAGGTGTCCTGTCCTGTGAGGTTAGCAAAGCTACATGACAGCTAGGGAGACACAGAATAGGGGCTTTAAAAAAAAGAAGAAAAAAAGAACGTGTGAAGGGAGTTTTGAATACAAAGCTAAAGTGTGGAAAAGAAGAGAGAATATGAAATGAATCAAGTGAAATAGGCTGAGACATGGTGACAAATGCAGTGTTCAGGAAGAAACATACTGCCAGTGGAAATGTAAGACAGAGCATGAGAGAGTAAGAGATCATTACAGCTCTGTGGTGCATCCCTCTTGGACCTCAGTACAATCTCCAGTCCAGGCTGGCCTCAGTCATCCAAGGCTCTAATACAGTGGTGTGTAAATATCTAATGCCTAGCCAACTGCCGTTTTATCTCGCTGTGTTCATGTGTGCAAACATGTCTGTGCTTGACCCACATCATAAAAAGAAAGAATATATGAAGATGTTTATAGAAGTGTATACACTCCCTTTTGGTAAGCTTCTGGCAGTGGGTGGCACCCTCATAAAAGTGGACTCTTAGTCATAAAGCCCATAGAGAGTTATTGCAAGTGTGGTCTTACTATCTGAATAGGAATCAACAATAGGTATCTTATATACCTGTAGCCTTCCAACTGCTACATTCACTAATGGATCAAGATCTATACAGTAGCTAAAAGAAGATGGGGTGAAGTACTGTGAAAATGGTGCAACTAAGTACTTGTGTGTATGTGTGTATGATGGGTGGAAGTTGGGCTTTTGTGTTAATCTCTGTTGGTGTGTTACGTATGTTTCTGTGTTGAGGTTTAGCACGCATCTTTTTAGTTTTGATAGTCTAACAGAAATGGTGTGTGTTTGTGTGCATGCATGTGTGTGTGTGTGAGAGAGAGAGAGAGAGTGAGTGTGTGAGAGAGGGGGTAGGCCATTTATCATGATGTGGAGCTAGTGAGCCTGAAGAATGGTGGAGGGGTTTGCAGGGCGAAAGAGAAATTGGCTTTTCATGATTGCCAGTATTTGTGGGTCTATAGTGTAACACCTTGCTGCTATTTGGTTCCTCGGGTGTTTGCGCATGCTCTTGTGTGGGCTTCTGTGTCTGTGTGTGTCTTACTGCTATGACGTCTCATACTGTCCAATCCAGGTTCACCTCAAATGGCAGAGAAACACAAACATTCCAGAGAAAATGCCTGTTTGTCTCCAAGAGAGAGACCAGTCAGTGCTATCTTCCCCAACCCCCTGGACTCTGCACAGGTTAGCATACACATAAATGCACACACCCAAACAGAGAGAGAATGGATTTGAATTGTCAAGAGAAATAAATTGTATTGCATGTTAAAAAGAAATTGTGGGATTTGGAATAAAACAAGGTGGTTTTGTAGTTTTTTTTTTGACACATCAATCTTTGCAGGTATGTTTATTCAGCACTGCAGCTGCCCATAAGGTGCATAGTGGTGCAGAAAACAAGGTCACCTTTGTATTGTACAATACTGTATATCCCAATGGGTGACTTCTGTTTTGGAGAAAAATATGCCTCCTAGACAAGGTCAGGCCTTTGGTACTGTAGCTGAGAAATGTAGTTTTTCAAGAGCAGCAGCTATTAATGTTTTATTAAGGTCAGGCAATCCACCATTAGCTCATTTTTAGTAAAAAATAAAAAATTACAAGATGATGTTGCCACAATAAGAATAGCCAACAGGAACAAGGGCTGTACCTAACTCAGTCACACACTCCATCCCCAGTGACAACGCTACTATAACAAAAAAGGTCAGTGCTACTGGCACAGTTTGCCTGTTTCTCCTTATACTGTTTGTGTGGAATCAAGCAGATTGTTTTAAATTTGCAGATGAATTGATGCTGGGAGACCTAGCAATTATTGCTGACAGTAGCAAAGTTCTTACTGATAGCTACTAATGGAATATTGATTAGAAACAACTGATCACTTGTAGCTTTTATTGTAATTGGAAAAGGGCAAAAAAGTGTATATTTTTCATGATGGATGGAGGCTAGATGTAAAATGTCATTACACATTGAGCACTTATTCTTTTTGCCTCTATTTGTCTGATTGTTGCTACACAAAGTTTACATTTTACACCATGATATTTATTTTTTTAAGTTCAGTATTTAGCAATCACAAATATATTGTTTCATGCTGTAATTTGGACATATTCTTGTGTGCAGAGAGTGCCTCCTCATCCAATAGGAGATACCACTTCACCAAGGAGTGACCCAAACCTCTCAGCACCAGACAAAGGTAAAACACAGGGTTTTCTTTTACATCCTTAATACCACACACTCACTCCTATTCAACAATTTCAGCAATACTCAAAATATATTCTCATCTTACAGAGAATGCTCTCCAGCAGAATAATAATGCCAGTATGTGTAGACACTTTACATTAAACCATTAAACTAAAGTAGACTTCCAATATTATTTTATTGTTTTCTGTTTCTTAGTGTTATTCAAAAGAGTATGCATTTCATTTACCCATTAGAAGTGTTCATCAGTTTATAAAAATCATTACATTTCTTAACACAAGCTCTCCTGAGTGGAACACAGTAATGCAGGGGTGCTGCCAATTTGTGTGGCAGTTTCTATGTTAAAGGGCTTTCAGATAGGATGTGGCACGTGCTGCAAATCACGCACATGTTGAGCGCCAGTTGCTAGGTGACTGAAAAGCTTTTCAGGAGGTGGTTAGCAAATATTAACTAGTTTTTCGAGCAGCAGACTTGGATGCACAATGTAACTATCTGCATGTCAGCAAAAAGCACTGGCTTTGGTTGTATTGATGAGGAGAAGGAGATGAGTTTCAGCAAAGAAGAAGGGGTGTGGGTCCATTAAAATCAGCTTCTCCTCTATTTTCTTTGTGGTCTGTCAGGTTCTCTGCGATTGGACATATTGAGGTGTCGTCATAGAACGCTGTGCTCAGGTTAAACTTTATTTAGCTTCTAACGGTACATGCGACCTTGCACTGCTCAGCTCAGAGCAGCCAAGATGCATTCTTGTGCTGTGTAACACAGAAATTAATGGGTTGGATACTGAAGCGCAGCACCCATGGTATTCTATCTGAAGAGGCCTTTATTCACCTCTGCTACACTGTCCAGGGCAGTTATGCAGTGTGGGATAGTTTGACCACAAAGTGACTTGAGGCAGCTTCAGGGGCCTCCTCAGGATATACACACACACACACACACACACACACACACACTGGATTCCATTTTCTTCCGACACCTAACCAGACATACCATCAAGATCAGAACATTTCATCTTTGTATTCTCACTAGTTATTTTGCTCAGTATAGTCAAAGAGAAATCAATTTTCTGGGAAAAATATGCCTGTGAATTAAGACTGAAAGTTGACTCCCCATGTGTAGTTTAAATAAAACTGAATAGTTTGATTATGTTTTTCCCTGAACTTTAGCAAAACTCTAAATATAAAATCAACCTGTGCATCTTTTTTCTTCCATCAGTGCTGTTCACTGCCATATAAAAGAGCAGCTTTCAAAACAATTGTCAAATAATTAATGATGAGAAGAAGACACCTTTAAATAGAGATGATATAATAGTTTCCTTGTGACTCATACAGACACACACCTTTCCACATGATTCAGATGTAAATAATGCAGTGAGAGATGAAATGCTACAATATGGTGACATGACACCTTTATGCATATGACAATGGCAAAAGGTGTTAGGATTCAAACAAAACCTGTGATTGTATAAAAGTGTCATTTGTCTCATCTTCTGCTTTGAACCTTTAATTAAAACTCTAGATACCAAACACATAGAGATTCTTGACTTGAAGGTACTTACAAGAGCTAAAAGTCTGACTTAAGGTGTGTTATACCCCAGTTCTTTTATTGAACAGATCTGAATGAAGACAGAGTCCGACTTGCTTCATTTTAGTGCTGGTTTATTTTGAAAGCCACAATAAAAAGTTACAGAAACACAAACCCGGGTGGCTCCTGCTCCAGACAACTGCTGGAAGAAAGGAGATCCCGGAAACACAGAGCCTAATACATTTATAAGATTTTGGGCTAACCCCTTACACAGACAGCTGTAAAAACATCAAGAGCTGGAGACAGTCCGATGTCTCCGTCTCATATCTTATGCTCCGCATGCATCAAGCACAAGTCATAACAAAATGAAGAATTCCGTGTGTGTGTGTATGTTGTTTGCGTGATGTGTAGCTAGACATAATTCTTACACAAGATTAATACAAGAATAACTGGTGTCAAGGTACCCTTCTCAGAGTCAACATTATCTTCTAACCTTGAAGCAGAGCACAAAGGAACAGACTTTGAATCTTACTAAACTGCATTAATAACACATTAAAGTCTAACACATTAAAGTCTAATAATTATCTGACTGATTTATTAATTTCTAACAGGTGACAAAATTTCCATTTGCCAATTTAAACTGTGGCAAGTATTATTGCAAAAATTCAAAACAAATGTACTGTCACCTCAAATACGATGGCCACTAAGATGCATGTGCATTGCGGCAGTGATGGAAACCTAAAATTATTGTGGAGCCATTTTCACTGTAGAGACGAAAAGAGGAGTTAATTTTGTGCCTCTGAGGAGCTGAAGTTATGCAACTCTTCTGGTCTCACTAGTCCTATTTCGGATTTTTTTTTAAATCCCAAGCATGACTGAAAATATTAAGAAGTAGGAGGACACTGGGGAAGAAGCTTAACAATGTGATTGTTACCATTTTAAACCTGATTTTTTTAAATGGCTAATGCTTAGAGCTCCTCAAAACATGGCAACAAATCTTAAGAATTTCTTTGTAACATTAAATATCTATGACTAAAATAGCAACAGTAAAACTAGAGAAGTGCATTTCGTGTTGAAAATGTGTGTGGATGCTGATATGCTGAAGGATCACCAGGAAAGTCCCTGAAATCAATTGTTGAAACAGATGAAGGATGAGAAGAAATGGCTGAAGTTCTTTGTTGAATAATCTGAAGGATGAGATGTAATACTTACAGGCCGGAATGTCTTTGAAGTGTTGAACATTTTGATACTTGAATGGCTTTTCTAGCTGAAAGTATGCTCAACTTAAATGTGAAGATTTTTCCCATTGGTCCCCACAAAGTAGGTAAAACAAGTGTGTGTGTGTGTGTGTGTGTGTGTGTGTGTGAAAGAGAGAGAGAGAGAGAGAGATAGAGAGTAGTCCTACACCCTGAGGACTGCTAGTGTGTGGCTATTGAAATGAAACATAAAATGTAAACGGCAATTATGCAAAAAAAGCATAAAAGATATCAAAAATCTGTGTCCAGTATGAATAGCTGAAGACTAACAGTTTAAATGGTGTTTTTAGCATAAACTATGCTTGACTTAAGATGTGAAAATTTTGCCCCTTCATTTGAATTGGGCAAAATTTGTTGAAAAAAGCTGAATATTTTTAAAAAGTATAAATGTTACCAAAGAGAAATATAAAGGCTGGAATGTCCTGGAAGAGTTGGCCATTTTGATACCTGAATGGCTTTTCTAGCTGAAAGTATGCTGAACTTATTAAGATGTGAACATTTTCCCATTGGTCCCCATAAATTAGGTAAAACAAGTAGGATTGTGTGTGTGTGTATGTGTAGGTGTGTAGTTGTGTCTGTGTGTATGTATGTGTGTGTGTGTGTGTGTGTGTGTGTGTGTGTGTGAGAGAGAGAGAGAGAGA